GATAAAATCTAAATCTTCGAATTTGTCCTTAAGATGTTCTGTGTTTTAGCTAGACTTTGACTTAGTCAAAAGAAGATGAAATGAAACAAGCAAGCGGCGCTTTATAAATATACATATGGTTTATCATGGCTGGCTTTTTTTCTGCAATCTTCTTCGAAGAATTGTTCTCAGTCCACTACAGAATCCTGCATGAGTTCATAGAGAAACTGATTTCTGTTCACCCACATACTTTTTTTCTCTTCAGCTTATTTCTTCTATAATGTCAGAATGATTTTCTTTGCTCCCTTTAGAGATTTCTGTATTTGCTAACCCATTTCGTCCTTTGCAGCTGCAATTGATCTTCTACCCTAAATCTTACTCTTGTGACCATGTCAGTATTGGACAAGATCAGTTGCCTCTCTCAATAATCCCAAGCTATTAGTTTGTTCATTAATATTCAAAGGATATTATAGCGTTGCAAGAAGATTCTTTATTCCAAGAGAAATGTGAAATTGCGTTTTCTTGTAGAATCGTAATAATGATATATTGCATTTTATATTTGAATAACGTAATAAGTTATTCTCTTTCATTTCAATCATTTGTTGTATAAGGAACTAAAGCAATTATACAAGTCTATTAAATTTGCATACGGAGATAGCAGTTTTGCATTCATTTCTCGCTGTACACTGAATTACATGAACTACTAGCTAGCATTACAAATACATTTGATTATCGAAATAACCACCACTTGATGAAGTCTTGTTAGATTAACACAAATAAAAACAGGGAAAAATCAACCGTGAACAAAAATTAACATCAACGATCTATATACTTCGGTATTTAATTGGTGTAGTTAAAGTTAAAATAACGGTCTCATGATTGCGATTAATCGAATAAATCGATTGTTTATATGTTAATGTTTTACAATAGTTCAATATCCTTAGTTTATCACGATCATTTCGTGTTTCTTTATATTCGTTAACATATTCGTTCCGCAATACAGAATTGAGTACGACGTAGAGAATATACTAAACAAAAAAAGAAAGGTAACACTACTTTATTCTGTGATTAATTAATTAATCCCTTCATCAATCCTTACCAATCATGTACGAATAAAGTAATTGATCAATTCTGATAAAACTGCAGTCATAGTTCATTATAAAACTTTGCGTTCAGTTGATTTTATTCGACTGTAAAGAACATTGGGGTCAATTTCAAAGGTAACACCATTAGTAACAGGTATGGCCACCGTTTGCGAAGTAAACAGCATTGCAGCGTCGTCGCATGGAACTCGTCAACCGGCGGATAATTCGAGGAGAGATGTTGTTCCATTCAGCTTGGGCCAGCTCCTGCAAGTTTGACGGCTGATTTTGACGTTCTCTCACGCGTCGCCCAAGAACGTCCCTGACATGCTCAATCGGTGACAAATCAGGTGATTTAGATGGCCAATCTAACACCTGTACGTTATTCTGCTGCAAGAAAGTTCTGCTGATGCGACTGGTGTGCGCTGGTGCGTTATCCTCTTGAAAAATGGCGCCAACGCCGTGGCGTCTTTAGAATGGCAGAACCACTGGTCTTAAAATTTCGTCCCGATATCGAATGCCGCTTAAATTGTCATTTAACACAACAAGCCTGGTACGAGCTCCCCCACAAATACCATCCCAAACCATTACACTTCCACCGCCAAAGCGGTCCCGTTCTGCGACGCAGCAGTTCGCAAAACGCTCCCCTCGTCGCCTCCACATTCTGCACCTTCCGTCACCGTGTTGCAGACAAAACCTGGACTCATCTGAAAACAGAACATTGTTCCATTGTCGTAAGGCCCAACGACGGTGAACACGGGTCCAGTTAGGCCGATTATTACGGTGACGTCGCAACAAATTGGGTCCAGTGTAGGGACGGCGCGCTTTCAATTGGTAGGCCCTCAACCTGTTGCGGACTGTTTGGGGAGACACACGACGCCCAAACAATGTCCTTGTAGTCTCTACTGCGGTTACGAATCGATTGCGCAAGTGTATCAATCGTATACGACGGTCATCCCTGGCGGTCGTTTTACGGGGTCGGCCGCTTCGGGGACGATCAGATGTTGACCTAGTTTGGTTAAAACGACTTACCAACTGGCAAATTGTCTTAACACTGCAACCAAAATGTCGTGCAACTCGACGACGAGACTCCCCAGCCTGGATCATGCCTACAGCCCTTTCTCTCTGTACTTGTGACAGCCGGGACATAATGATAAAGTTGAAAGATAGCAAGATTAGGTGATTTCTAAGTCCTAAGGATCTAAGGAACAGTTGTCAGTTTGAATGTTTATGAAATTCAAGCGAAGATACAAGTTAGTCGCAGAAAACCTCGTGCAGTTCTTTCACTAATACAGATTTTCACGCTTGAATGATTTTGGTAACCCCCTTGGATTTTGTAATGTAAAACATTACCATTTTCTAATATTGCACAAACGTCAGTTTGTTTTCACTCATTTACAAGTATTCGCCAAGGAAACATGTTAACCTTTCTTTTATTTGTTGAGTATATATACTCCTTAGTCAATGAAGAGTTTTGAACAGTTGAAGAGTAACCATCTTGAGCTCATTTCCTAGTGCAATATAAGGTTAAACGATTCCGATTTCCATCGATAAGTCTTGGTTTCAGATTCATTTATCTAGTTCTTTAAGATTAAATGGCTTGATGGTATTGGAAAGTAAGTAGGATTCAAATAAACCTGTCCAGATCAACATATATTTGTTTTTATTTTTTCCGTTTTTCTTGTTTTAATGTTCATGTTTTACCGCTGCTCTGTCGACATTATGTCTATTTCTTCAAAACGTGGTGGAATATAACGTTGGATAATTCTATTTCATAAACATAACATGCATTATATGCAAAAATATATGATTGAATGCCGTTTCCTTTTCCATACATTTGAATGTGTCATGTTCTTGCTATATTTCTCCAATAGCTAGAACCTAACAGCGATGACAATAATAGCCATGTCATTGATTCAAATCTAATGGGGGGAAAGCTAAACAAGTAAATTTAAATTTATATTCATGCACGCATCTTTAAAGCAGACAATGTATAAACTCCTGCCACTGGCATTTTAAATATACATACACATGTTTTATCAAAATTGCTTATAGATTAATAATCTTTAACGTTGTACCAAACACAAAACATGCAAAAACAACTGTATCGTTGATGTACTCCTGTTTCAACGGTAATACATAATTTCAGTTCTATCTAAATCAACATTTTAATCAAAATCAGTTTTACATAACAAACAAAGTGGATGAATATTTACATTACGTAGATAAATGGTAATCGAGGAAATGACATTTTCCATTCTACCTAAGTCAATGATTTTATGGGGCTTTCAAACTAAAACTGCGATGTTTACGAGAAAGACCATAGAGAAAAGGCATGAACTTTCATTATTGGGAAACATTTTTCATAACTAGAAATATTGTTTTTTTTTATTGTAGTGACAGTTTAGTTTTGACAATTGTTCAGTTAATTTGAAGACTTGTACAGTACCGGAATCATGAGATTTCCCTGGAGACAATAAATGTCACGGAAGACATGTTATTGTATGACGGCCTCGATATCGCTGATATATAATAGACATTTTCTGCTTCTAATGGGATTTAAATCCAGCATGCAATTTTACTTCGATTTTGCCCATTTTTTCAATTTCTCTCGTTTCTGAAAAAAACAAGTTATACTTGTTTAAGTATGGTTAGTTTGTTTTTCCATATTATGTATTTCAAGGAAAGATGGAACTTCATAAGGTTTTATGGGTTCACAGATAATTTGCAAGAAGTCGTTATAATTTCATTCACAAGTCCGTCGCATAAACATTGTGGGCGATTATCATTTTGTTTCCCAGACTAATTCTACATCATGCGATGCCAGTTACTTTAATAAAAAAAAACTATTTCTTAATGTGATGAACGGAATGGCAACGTAATGATGGTTCAGAACACAAGAGGTTTGCCGCGATTCATAATTTATATTATGTAAGCAATCACAGTCATAAAATGATGTTTGCACAGTTTCCAGTATTTCAATATTATACATAAAAGGCAAAGAATTTAAATGTGAAAGTTCATTTTATATGTTTGCTTATTCTCCATTTAAAGTTATTTAAAACTACAAACACCGCCTACGGGTTTTTATGTCAAGGCGAAAGAAGTCAAAATAGATTATTTAATTGTTTTAGTTCATTACTAAATATTTCCGATATTTCATACGGTTATTCCGTATCGTTTGACCAGATCAAGGTGAGGAGTTTTGTAAATTTGAACAGATTTCATAGAACTTTTTTGGCAAGATCATGCCCCGAATTTGCATTACATACATGCAAAGTTATTTTACTTCTATTTCAACGATATAGCGAACTCAGAGTTCATATCCTTTGACCTCTTGTTATGTTATATAATAAATGATATTATAATCAATAACAATTGACTTATAAATCTCAGATGTTGTTTAGAGTTCCTCATCCGCGTCGATGGTGTTACCAAGACGGTATTATAACATGACATTCAAGCATACTCGTCACGCAGTTGATGTAACACAAGTGCAATTATCACCGTCAAGTATTTCTGTCATTGTAATTCAAAACTGTTTTTGCAACATAAAGTCCGACCCAGGAAATCGACCTTTATATGACTAATTAATTGTTGTTGTTGTTGACATGTGTATTCATTTGTGAAATTTCTCTCTGGGATTGGCTAAGATTTGCATGGTAGGTATTGTCGATGAAACGGAAGACGCTTACCTTTCTGTTACACCTGACCTTATTCCCTTTGTACTTTTTCAGGGTTCCTACTGTGAATCTCTCCTTTTTTATAGTTACTCCTACATTGATCGAATTTACATTTAAATGGGAATTTTGATGGTACGTCGGTATGTTCTTTTGTGTGTTAGATTTCTGTTAACGAAATGGTAAAAATTAAATGATAAGCTTACTGTTCTTGTCTTGTAATATAATGTATATTTGGCATTTTTGTTGTGTTTTACAGGTGATTATGCTGTGATCCTCAATACACGTCACCAGACAATCAGAGCGCAGCTGCGAAAGGCGCTGAATGACGCAATCACCTTCGTGACAACAAGATGGCGCTTCTGTATAGAGGTCAATGGTAATTCTATCACAGTGTACATGTATATATATATGTTTTTAAACTGCATACACATTTCAAATTACAAAATGATAGGTTAGGATTATAAACAAATCCATGAAGCTGTTAAGTCTTCCAAGGACTCCACAGCGATAACAATGACCTAGAGTGCTGAAACTTGAGATGACGCATTGAAATATACGCTGGTTGAAGGATAAGTACCGACATTAGATCCGATAAGCCAATCCATTTTATAAGGAGCAAATCTGTCGCATCCTGTGCTAAAAAGAATTATACTGTAAAACATTACAAAAAAACCTATTTTTCACACTAGAAGCCAGAATGTTTCCTAATCCTTTAATTCGTTTTAGACTTACGTAAACCTGATATCGGAAATAAAAGTGGCCATAAAACACAGATATTAGCAACATGTGAATAATCCCATGAAAAAAGTATAGGTAAATTACGACCAGGTGTTCTGGAGAGTAAAGTTTCTTCCGCTTCATTGATTCATTGACGACACCCAACATGTAAATCTTGATCAATCGATGTAAGTTACCATAGATGAGAACAAATTGAACATTAGCGGAACCACCATGTAATGTGTATAGAGCTTACTTTGAATTACAAGATACAGTCTTATTGTGATACAGTTTACTCAAATATTAGAATGAAATGTACAAATGTATGTGAATTGTAAAGAATCCCAAAGAGTTGACTCGATATTGAAGTGCCTCTACCAATATCACGATTGTCGTGCAAAATATCGACAACTTTCAAGTTACAACAAAGAGTTTTGAGAGAAGCAGATTGATAACAATTATGTGGTATCATTGATAAACATTCTATTTCTGCTTTTGTTAGATTTAGGGTCAATAAATAGTACTTTGAGTTCGAAATACGACGTGCTTTAACATATCATACAATTTTGTATTACGTTATAAATTATGTCATAAAGGAAACGCGCGCACTTGCAATATTCTTTTCAAGAAGATTTATTCACAAATCCGCTTTCACTTTTAATTCTTTTCGGGAAAGGAGATTCATAAATCAGCATTCCGTTGTCACAGAAAATAATTCTTCGAAGCTCTTCCAAAATGTGATTTTGAAGAATTTGTTAGGATTAAAGTTTAAAAAAAACACTTGACATCAAGGACGCTTAGCATATTTCGGTATTTAATCTTAATTGGAAATCGGAAGTCATTATTCTTAGTGCGATAAAGGATTCGGACATTTAAAAGGAATTCTGAATTATTAATTGGATTAAAAATCGCAGATGTTGTTGTGAGTTCCCCATCCACGTCGTCGATGTTACAAAGACAGTAGTTTAACATGACATTCAAGCATTCACGTCACGCAGACTGTCACACTGGGAAACCGTTGATGGAAAATCGTAATCTTCAGGAAGCATTATATGACACTTTTCTGTAAAAGACGCCTCTGATACAGCACTGATTGCTAATATGGATTTGTTTATCTCACGCGTTGCAATCACAATGCATAACTTCGTCTACAAAATAAACATGGCTTATTCTTCAATTCCTCTTTTATTGCTGGACCTGTAGCCATTAATGTATTTTAACCATGGTGTTACGTGTCATACCTATATTTAAAGTTTTCTCTACCTTTTTTAGCGTACAGAATATATAAAAAAGACAAAAAAAAAACTTGGAATGAGTACAATGTATGTATACGTTGAATATACGGATATTTCTATACGTGATGAACAAGGTCCACAGTATAAAAAGTAGTCCTATTTTGCAAGATCTATACTAATCGGTGGACACACATGTTATGCTACATTCTAGCTAAATCCTCGTTGTTTTCGTTAATTAGAATAGTGGCCGGTTCAGAAAACACATGTGCTGGATGTTTGTCTGAAATTACCTTATACATGAAAATTCCAAAATTTATCTAATTGGGATTCTACACCTCCTCGACTACACTTTGACTTTTCTAGTGATCACTTTGGATTTACTCAGTCGCCAACTAGGCTTCAGAATTTAGGTCCTTAGCATCACTGACGAGTCGTATAAGGATGAAACAGCTGTATGATTCATTTTAGATCCTAATTTTGCTCTGCTGTATGTGCTATTCACTTTTGTGTCTTTTGGTACAATCTTTGATTGTATTAGTTTTCACTCAAATCCCATTAGTAGGTTATAGATTTGCGATTTGGTTTCCAGAGAAGACAGAAAGCCATGATGAAATTGCAATTTGTATGAATTAATTGACTTATTTTACGTTAAATTTCATATTTCGTACGTAGAATGACGTTTTGTGGCTCTGTTGGTTTGATTGATTTCAGTCAGGAAAAACGATCTACATTAATCATTCAACTTGTACTTGTTGTGAAGGCAATAGGTACTAGTGTAAACCATTTGTCACTGCTTTTATGGAAGAAATGGTGTAGTATGCCCCATTGTGTCAGCTTGTGTCAGAAAGAAAATTTTCAATATGGCTTTTCTTTTTATAATGCAAGCCCTTGCCGTTATTGACGATTCCTACACTCACTAAGCAACTTCATGGTCAGTTTAATCATTTCACTCTAATTTATCTAAGTCTTTTTCCTTTAATCTTAAATATCATTTTTGTTATCAAACAAATTATAAGTATGCTTATTTGCCAGTGTTTACATATTAAAGGGACGATATTCCATGAACATTGATGGTACGGAAAATATAATTCACCGTGGTATCTGAATATATCCTTTTTATTTATTTTATTATTTATTTTATTTGTCAATTTATTTTCTTCATGCATTTATTTACATAATTAATGCTTTAGACATAATGAAATACAAAAACATGCTATGACTTTGGTTTATCTTCAAAATAACATTCATCATTTTATCTCCCTTCAAACAGTCTTCATAACATATAATGTATAATGTCCGACGTAAGTAAATGTGATAGGTATACATTTACTGTCGTGCACACTGTGTCGGGAAGAGAAGCACGTGTTAATTGTTTGAAACAGGAGGTGTTTTCAATCATTCTAAGGTCCCAGATGATATCGATAATAATGTGTTTATCATTCCGTTTGCCAGCGCTCACGCGTACAAGCATGTTAAATATTCATCGAAAGCCTTCCATTCCCAATTTGAAACCCAAGACGATTCAAAAGAAAACGAATCACATTTGAATAAAGAGAAGACTTCCAGAAAGCAGCATGAGATCATTCCGAACTACATCGTCCTGATATACAGAGGGCTTCTATAGGGCATTTATCTGTCTCTTATTGACTGATAATTTTCTAATATTGTCAATTTCTAACCGGAATATTACACATATTACACATTTGTAAAATGATGTTGATACTAATGTTGCGAGCCAGAAACGTTTCCCAGAAATACAACTGAATACATCGATAATGTCTTCTGGTGAAATAGAATTATGAAAATATTGAATGATCGATATATTTTATATCTGTGTCGGCAGCAGGAAGTTACGGAAATAGTTATATAATCAATGTATTAGCTATATCTAGAACCCAGCTTAAATCTGCTACTTTGGTTTCAGGTTATTGTCATTAAGCCAGGATATTGATCATTCATCCAAGTTATAAAGGTTTATAAAGGAAGATCAAACTTTAGACACAGGAAGTAAAATTATGTATCATATAATAGCAAATTGTTGTAATATTTCCTTGTCAGGTAACTGATAGAGTGACGCGTAGTTTGGTTTGAATTTCAAATCAATTCATTTTTATTTGAATTTGCTCTTTAGTATTCAAATTTCTTTTAAAATAAAATGAAAAAATAAAAGGAATACTGAAAAGATAACAGAACATTCACTTAAACGCAGATCCAAAGACGCAAAATTATGATTATGTTTACTTATTTCACAATATCGTAGTTAAATATATGCACCAATTCAGAAATCTGTTAACCTTACATTACACTTGATTATATATTACTTATATGAATAATGTATATTCATTTGATATAACAATTGTATGATAAAAATCAGCACGAACAACTAATGTCGACCTGTGTAGATCTCATTCTTTCTTAATATTCTTATCAGAAGACAAATATAGGTATATGACTTATATATATATATATATATTATGGAATAGATAAAAAAAATGTGCCGCTTCGATGAACATTTGAAAATGATTATGTCTACCTCAAACTTTTAGTAATGATAATTATAATAAAATGTGTACGTACGGTATATATATACAAATTAATGTTGTTTTGATACTTCAGTATCTGAACCGCCGACTAAAACAAGAAAATACCAACATAATCATAATCAAATATCAAAGGATGTTAAATTATCATTGCAAATTATGTATGGTTTACACTGAAATTCCTGTAAAAATAGTGCATTGAGAATAGAACAAAGTGTTCCGGAAGAGTATCGTCTTCTGCTTCTTCTTGAACAATCCAAGTAATGTCACGTTCTCAAATGAAAATAAGATATTAAACAACAAAACCAACAAGCAACCTAAAGAACATTACACACGTCCACCTTGATATCGCACAAAGGAATATCATACCTCTCAATGAGATCACAATGACGTCCAAGACACTTACCTTATACTACTTACATTTTCATCAGTCTGAATCTTATGAAACCTTGTGCTATACGTTTTTCCCATAGTTGACGACCAGTTTTGAGATGCAGGCGTGTTGCAGAAATGGAAAATTCGCTATAAGGAAATTCAAATCATCACGATGTACATTTTCTGTTTATATATATATATATATATATATATATGACAAGTTATATTATATCAAATGTTATTCAAAAAAGTCTAAATGTTGTATTTATTGTCTAAATTCTCTTCAAGTATGTAGTTTGTAACGTTGTACTACGCTTTCGTCATGCTGAATGAAATGCAGATTTTTAATGTCGGTTTAACCGGATCCAGGATTAATTTTTACCATAATATTTTCTGGTACTGTAATTAAGTTTGCGTTATTTAGAGTTGAGCTTCACATCAGGACGTCGTGGCGCGTGTTACCACAGAATGGATTGGCGTACATCATACGGGTAGCGAGCTA